CAATACCCTCACAACACAATAGAGGATAACACAGATCTAACCTTCACATCTAAAATCCAGGAGACCATCACTCTGTCAGACAAACATGATGGAGTCACCATCACCTGTTCTGCCACATATCCTGTGGATGGAGGAAACCATAAGACAGCAGAGGAGAGAAACACTCTCAATGTTTCATGTAAGACAACACATTGTATTACTTCCTGATAGAACTTTCTGATTTCTCATGACTCTCTTTTCTCAGTGATCTTATTCAGGCTTTGATGTATCTATCATTTCATTGTTTGTTACAATTTCCTCAGATGCTCCCAAGGACACCTCAGTGTCCATCAGTCCATCTGGTTTTGTGTCAGCAGGTAGCTGGGTGAACCTGACCTGCTCCAGCAGAGCCAATCCTCCCTTCAGCCGCTTCACCTGGTTCAAGACCAGCAAACATGGACCCATCAATGTGTCTGATGGAGACTTTTACAGCTTTAATGTTACTGATGGAGGAGTTTATTACTGTGTGGCCACAAATGATCTTGGTAATGGAACATCATCATAGATCCATCTGACTGTTTAAGGTAAAAATAGTCAGTACTGTTACTGAATCCACTGACATAAATCTTATCTGCTGTATGTTTTTATTAGTGTGTTGTAGTACCCTTTAGAGCACTTTGAATATCATGAGAAATGGTTTTAATACAAACAATAAATCTAAACTTAATGTGACAGGCTGAACTTCTGCAATGTTTTCTTTTTGAGCAGGAGATAGCTTAATACGATGGGGTGCTGTTACTGGAGGAATCATTGGGATCATTGCACTCATCTGCCTGGTCGTCTGTGTTTGGTGAGTATCACATATTAAAGCAGCAGTCTTGTCTGAGTTCACTCACATGCAATAATATCTGTTTCCCACCAGTCTTGACACTTTACTGGCACACTGTATATTGAACCTGAAACACAGTATAACTGATCTGATGTCTTCCAGGCGTTTAAAGTCGACACATTCAACTGCACAACAGACTCAGGTGAGAACATACTGAACTTCCTGTACAGCACTGCACTGTGTGTTCTGCTCCCATTGGCTGTGTAGTCATCCTGACACAGTTTCTGTGCTTTAGTTTACATCCTGACTTTGTCCAAAAGTCCAGTCAATGAATCTGAGATGAGTCTGTCATTATTCAATAAGAATCCAGCTGGAGGTTCACCTCACAGCACCTCCTGTTTGATTTATTATTTTACAGAGTCAAACAGGTGAAGAGCTTGTTGTTGCAGAGCCAGCAAGAAAAGCAAAAGAAGAAGAAGACATCCATTATGGAGAGATCGACTTCTCCAAGCAGAGACCTGGACTGCCCTCGGCCTCAAAGCAGGACAGTGGACAGCAGCAGGATCCACTGTATGCACAGGTCAAAGTGTCCGAGACAGAAAACGTCCCAGAGGATCTCTACACTCAAGTGAAGAGAAAATGAGTATTGTCTTGTGATCACATTTTGATTGGATCCATAATATACCTTTACTCTATATTGATATAAGATATTTTATGTCAAAAAAAGACACTGGCGCTGGACAGGAAAAAGACATCTTCATTTCACACAATTAAGGGGAACTCAAAACCTCCACATCCTGCAGCTCAGATAGTTTTGTCAGTCATCGTAATATTTTAGTTCATACTTGTGAAATGACCTAATTTGGCTGTCGCTGTGTGATTTGTAATCTGCATATCAGATCAGTGCAAATATAAGTCACAAAGTTCTGTGCACACATTACCAGTGTAGGACAAGCTTGTATTTAATCTGGAAATGTTTGTTTAATTTATTATCTTATACATTACAGATCATTTTTTACTAGGCATGTTTAATCTCATTTCCTTATCTACTGTGCTGTGTCTACATTTTTATTTGTATTTGAATGACTTTCAAAGATGAACATAAGACATTGTATCTGCATTTTAAGTCATTTATTCATTGCACTGTAATAAAAACCTTGGCAAACAATTCCTAAAAATACCTAATAATCTCAGTTGCATTTACTGGTCCAACATTTCACATACTGTGTGTAAACATCACTTGAAAGCAGACAGTTGAATCACAAACATTACAAAAGTGGCAAGATGAATGATGCATAGTAATTCCCACTGGAACTGTGCTACAATGCTTTGAGAAGTTCTGATCGCACCCTAATGATCTGAATCCTGTGATTGCCTCCCTGTTTCTGCATAAACTTCCTGTCAGTAGGGTTTTTAATTGTGCACTAACAAGGCACCCATATCCACTTTGCCCAGAACTTTAGTGTTGATGGCGCCATCTTCTTGCAGCACTGTAAATGTTGCTTGACTTCTTGTGTTCATATGTAGCACAAATTGTAGCTGGAATGACTCAAACACATAATATCTTGAAGAGAAAGACAACACAATCACTGTGTCATTTTACATCATGTTTCTAGGCTTCCTTTTCTGATTGCAATGTGAGATAGACTTGCAGATTAACTTAAGCTAATTTATTTTATTTCCCCTTTTTGACAGTCACACCACAGAAGACTAACAACTAAATGCTTTAAGGGGACTTAAAATGGTCAGTTTCGGGTTCATACTTGTATTAAGGGTTTCTGCTAAGTTTACATGCTTTAAATATTTAAAAAAAAAAAAAACTTTATTTTCCTCATACTGTCTGGGCTGGAACATCTTCATCCTCTGCCTGTATCCTCTGTCTGAGACACTTCATTTTAGTGCCTGTCTCCCTACACCCCAAATCGTAAGTATAAAACATTTTACTTTGCAGTCAGGACATGAACAGCTGGAAAAAAGAACGTCTCCAAATAAAAGTGACTGAACAAACAGCTCACCTGAAACAAAGAAGACACTCAGTAACATGTTGGCTGTCACCATTTTCACACACTGGACTGTAATGACACTCATCACCTGGATTTGACAAAAATTCATGTTTCTTAAAGCCACCTCAGATTCACACATTCAGAGCAGGAACTCTCCCTGTACAACCAGGTGTTAAGCATGAGATATTTCTGCTAAACCAAAACCCAACAAATAAAACATGAAACATAAAGCAGTGAAAAAAAGATAGTATAAAAAGCTAAAAACATGTTACCTCACCAAATGAGCCTGCAGTCAAAATGGAGTGAAAATAGTTTTTCTTAATCAGGCAATTTGTAAATTTCAACACAACTACTACAGACCCAGTACCTGACTTCCCTGCTAATCCACTGTGATTTATAAGCAAACAGAGTTTCTGTGCAAAAAACCAACTGTCTGAAATAGTGTAGAAATACAAGTAGTCACTCATCCTGTGGTCATCCTGTGAGTGAAGAAGTCAGCTTTTGAGGCAGCTTGAGCTCATCATGATGAAAATAAGTGATTCATTCCCAAACATTTATTTTTTATCACGTGATTTACTGGAAGTGTGTGTGCCTTATCATCATTTGTAATTCATGTTACATTAATAACAACAGTGACCTATTAAACATATATGACAATAAATAAGAACAAAAATGTATTGCACATATGAAGTTAAGACAAACAGTGGATATAAAATACAGACATCATATCTAGAGGGAGTTTTATTGTGAGTGGTTAAGTGGAACCCTTTTGTTGTTACAAATGAGGATGATTAGAGATCATCAATGCAGATAGCCAGTGTTTTATTAGAGAAATATGCAGGAAGATTAACTTGCTATACACCAAACAGCTGTGTCTTCTATAGCAAATTAATTGTAATACTTGTTCAATCAGGAGAGACAGAAGAATAGATTAAATGAAGAAGTCATTCATTTCAATTGACCAACCCAGACAATGACACCTAGAGACAGTGAGAGAGCATACATGCAAAGAGAGAATGGCAAGGTGAGAAAGAGACTGATGAAGACATCTGGTTGCAATGAGCCGTGGGGCTACAGTCGCTCTGATGATCCTGCAGAGGGACAAGCCGTCCAACTTCCTCTGCTTACTTAGCTCTCAGGTTTTTCTCAGAGCTCTGGTCACGATTTTATCAGTTTATATCTCCCTACTTCTCTTTGGTGTTCTTACTCTGGTCCATGAGCCTCACACAGTTGTATTTTCTCACGTGTACCATCAAAAATACTGTAAATATAATGTGTTTTGATTAAAGACAGAACTGTGAAGTGTCTCAGTTTTCTTAAAGAACTGAAAATGATATTTAATGATGCCACCGGGTGCCTGATTCTTTAATTATTCTATGTAAAACTTAGACTGTAAGTACTGTCAACACTTTTTGACACATGTATTTAACACAGAGTTTATTAAACTGACTTGTACACAGTCTGTATCTCTTCTGTTCTATAATTCAGCAGTGATGAGAGAACCCAATTAAAATGCTTTTCACTTCAGATGCTTTTAATGCTTTTCATCCAGCAGTCATCCACACATGTATATACAAACACAACTGTAACAATAAAAAAAATAAATATCCACATTTTATGCTTCCTCATCCTCATTATGAACTGTTGTTCTGTTTAAAAAATACATATTTGTACATATAAAGAAAACACAACTGACGCAAAGAAAAAAATTAGTATAATCTTAAAAATAAATAAATAAATAAATAATGATACTACAATATACTATCTTCTGTTCTGTTTCCACTTAAACTTTTGTTTACTGATCTTCTGCAAAGAAGAAAAATACTAATACTAATACTAATAAATAAATACTAAATAAAATAAATACTTAAACTAGTACTAATATTTAACACTGAGATCAATAAGAATAAGATAAACATTTAATTTAAGGTGAACAAGACATCTTCCTCTTCTTCTTCATAATGCTTGTATCTCAGTCAAGCTGTTGACATAGTCTGCTTCTGCGGCGTCCTGTGGAAATGACTCAATCAACACTGTCTCTAAAGGATTCCCTCTGTATAATCTTGATCGAAACCACCTGAAAGAAACCAAGACGACTAGACATAAAAAAAGTAATATTTACTACAAACATTTGAAAGAGTACCAATAAGTCTTTAGCTGCAAATGATCAGATCATAGAAAAGTTCATTTCACCACTCAAAGATGATGATTGTGCTGTAGAGTGCTACGATTCCCAGGATCTGCACTGTGATGTGGACATCAACCCCAAACTCTGGATTGCCTGTAACAAGACAGCCTGGTCACATTCTCCTTAGTAAAAAATGTTAGGACTCTAAAACATCATCCTTCTGTTCACCTCAAATGTAAACTGACATCCTGGTTAATCCTGTACATCATAAACTATGAGCTCAAGCACTTTGGTCATTCTTCATAAAACAAAATGAAATGTGTAACATGAAACATGTTTTTATGACTGAGTTCTCACAGAGCTGAATTTCATGAACACGACACATTTTATTCAAGAAGAAAAACAGAAAAGAGAGGACAGCAGATTAGATTATGATGACATCTGATTACTGAGAATATTTTAGGCATAAAATACGTAATCCAACAATAACTGCTCCTATTTCACTGCTGGGTTAAGTACAGTTCAGTATTTACCTTTAACAGTCAGATGGATCTCTGATGATGATTCAGTACCAAAATCACTTATGGCCACACAGTAATAAACTCCTCCGTCTGTCACATTAAAGCTGTAAAAGTCTCCTTCAGACACTTTGATGGGACCATCTTCGTTTATCTTGAACCAGGCGAAGCGGCAGACAGGAGGCTTGGCTCTGCTGGAGCAGGCCAGGTTCACCCAGCTACCTGCTGACACCAAAGCGGATGGACTGATGGACACTGAGGTGTTCTTGGGAGCATCTGAGGAAAATGTGAGATTAACTTTATTCATTAGAATCACCTGACATCACATGAATCATCATGTGCTGACAGGATCCCATAACAAACACTGGTTGTCTTACATGAAACACTGAGAGTCTTTCTCTCCTCTGCTGTCTTATTGTTTCCTCCATCCACAGGATATGTGGCAGAACAGGTGATGGTGACTCCATCATGTTTGTCTGACAGAGTGATGGTCTCCTGGATTTTGGTTGTGAAGGTCCCATCTGTGTTCTCCTCTATAGTGTTGTGAGGGTCTTGTGTGAGATTCCAGGTGAGTTTAGGAGGAGAGTGTGGACAGGGAGTGGAAGCTGAGCAGGTTATAGTGACAGACTGCTTCTCCTTCAGATCACCTGAGATCTCAATTCTGGGGCTCGGAGGAGAATCTGTGGTTAAAAAAAAAATCAGAATCTGTCTTTCTTTTTCTCTTTTTTATCTAATACATGATAGACTGATAACAGTAATTCTCTTACCTTTAACTGTTATTTGAAGAGGGTCACAAGTAGCTGTTGCCTTGTAGTCACTGTTCTCAAATCTGAAGTAGTATGTGTCTGTGTAACTTTTGATTAAATTAGAAAATAAAGTGGTGCAGTTTCCCTTACTCAGGTTTCCAGTGATATTCATTGGATAGTCGTTAACTGTCTTACTACTGTCGAAAATCACATTGTTTGAATGAGAGAAATGACTAGAGTCATTTTTAATCCACTTTCCGACATGTCTTGTGCTGTCCACACGTATTGATTTATCTTTAATGTAACATGGGATTTGCAGACAAGATCCGCACAGTGCCTCCATCTTTTGTGGTGTGGTAATTAAGGGGAATGACTTTGCAGGACAATCAGCCAAAGCACCTGTGAAATCAGACTCATGATTAATACAAAGTGAAACAAATCTCTATGAATAGACAAATAGACATCAGCAGCAGGATGCTGCATGTAGAGTTTCCAAAATAAGCTCTATTACACTGAACAAACAGCTCACCTGAAAGAAAGAGGATATGGAGCAACATGTTGAATGTTGCAATGCTCACAGACAGAGCTGCCATCACCTACAAACACAATAATGCAGTTACTTTTTAAATATGTTTTTGGAGCTATTACAAAGAATATGAGTCCTTGTAAGCACACATTTACACCAGAAACTTTCACCATACAACTGGGATTCAGTGTATTTAATGTGATTAATCACTAACTTCATAAGTAAATTGTAAATAAAACCACAGCAATAAAAAGCTGCTGAAGCACACTCTCACCAATACAGCATAGTTCTGCTAAACAAAATTATTAAAATAAATGTTAAATCATGTTTTTTTTAAGTTCATGAAGAGTCACAAAATAGTATGATTGTCCTGGAAAAAAAGGTACAAAGCAAAATAAGTGGCAAAAAGTCTTGTAAAACAAGTCTTACCAAACAAGCCCAAATCGAATAAAAGAGCAGCAATGAGATCCTTCAGTGGGTGATATGAAAGTGAATATTAGTTTGTGAATTTGAGCTTCAGTATATACACGTATATATAAAAAAAAAAAAAAACTTCCTTGTTTCGTGATTGGAATTTAAAACTTCCCGTGTTTCTATGAATCAGCTGACATCCCATGAATCATCATGTGCTGACAGGATCGAAAAACCAAACACTGTTTGTCTTAAATGAAACACTGCGAGTCTTTCTCTCCTCTGCTGTCTTAACGTCTTTTCCTTCATCCACAGGATATGTGGCAGAACAGGTGATGGTGATTCCATCATGTTTGTCTGACAGAGTGATGGTCTCCTGGATTTTAGCTGTGAAAGATCTGTGTTTTCCTCTCTTGTGTGAGATTGCAGGTGAGTTTAGGAGGGGAGTGTGGACAGGGAGTGGAAGCAGGTTATAGTGACAGACTCCTCCTTCAGATCACCTGAGATCTCAATTCTGGGGCTCAGAGGAGAATCTGTGGTTTCAAATCAAACACAGATTTACACTACAAGGGCAATGCTGTAACTTCAGTATTTAAACTGCTTCTGATGTTTTTTAATGACAATAATTATTTATAATTCCATGTAGGTTTTGTCCTCCACTGCTGATACACGTCAAGGAGTGAAAACAACTCAATACATTTGTTTTTGTCATTTTGTCTAATTTGACAGTTAAAGTAGTGCAGACATCATAAGATAGTTTAATCAAGAGACTTGTTCTAAGAGAAAATAATATTCATTTACATGTGCACATAAGTATGGGAAATGTGAAAAATCTTTGGGGATTAGACCCCATCGTGATGTCACATATTCCTTGATTAGGGAACCCTCCCTATGGAGTCTAGACACTGGTGGTGGTAATAGTGGTGATGAGATGAAATGAAGAGGGAGCTGAGGATCTGGATGTGAAGAGGAATGGGCTTTTGATGAGCTGGTCCTAGGCTCTGAATAAGTTGAATGGAGGTAAATGGGGTGGAGGAGGGTGTGACGATTGCGCCTAAAATGACAGCAGAAAGGAGCAGAGAGGAGAACAGATTTAAAGTTTGGCAGCAGCAACATGAATGGGTAAAGGAGATCATGGTGAAGTTTGATAGCACAGTGCGTTTCATGTTGATCTGTTGATCTGGAGCCTATCCCAGCTGACACTGGGCGAGAGGCAAGGTACACCCTGGACAGGTCGCCAAACTATCACACTATCACCCTTTTGTTGCATCTTAAATCCATCAGAATGCAAATGGATTATTTATATTTGATTAGAATTTTCTGTTATTACTATCTGAATCGTTTATTTTACACAGAAATTTGGATTATGTGAAAGTACCCTTTACTTCTCTTACTGACACTGAAACATGAAAAACAAAGCTAAACACTATTATCAAGAAACAGAAACTAGTTGAAAGTGTGCTTCTGTATAACTGACTTAAGGTTTCCCGGCATTTTCTCAATGCTTTACATATGACATCAGCAGTTTACCTTCCTTTATTTCTCTGTTATTCACTTTAATTCATTACTCACACACTAAAAAACTGTTTTGGTATTTGGTCGGCAGTATCATCAGCATCAACGCAACATCAAGTGGGAAATGAGACAGTGACGAGTCAGTATGATGTCACAGGTTTACGTTTGATGTGTCTTGCAATAACTGTGGTATTTCCTTGGAGGACTTGCACAACACTGCTTCCCGCTTTGTGGTGTTTGTAACGTCTGCCACTTTCTGTACGCGCAGAGATAACTGTATTAAGGAATTGAAAACCTCATGTCGCAAATAGGCCTGCACACTCACATGATGAAATAACAACTAACATATAACAGATAAGTTATCAATTAAACCCAGTGGTGGAATGTAACTAAGTATATTTACACAAGTACTGTAAAAATCTGAGGTACCCATACTTAAACTTGAGTCTTTTCTTCTCATGGCACTTTCTCCTATTACTCCTCTACAATTGATCCTTCACTAAGTCCCACCCCAGGATGCAGACTGGCCAATCATAACGTAGCATCAGGCCGGCTCAGACCAGGGTCCAACAACAACACAGCTGTGCTCCGTTGACTCTAATGCAGTTGTTTCAAATGTATTTCATTTAGTGGATTTGGAGCTAAATGTTGTGCCTGGGGCACGTTGTGTATTAATGATACTTGTTACCTGGAGAGGTTGGAAAAAGATAAACGTTACTTCCCTGTTCCAAAACCAAAATCAAACCCTGAAAAGTGTAGGGTTAGCTAGCTAGCTACTGAAGATATAGCCTACTGAATGTATACACATGCTGCTTTTGCTTTTTAATGATTATAACAGTGAAACAAAGACCGACCCTGCTGCACAGGAACCAGTGACGGGAAGCAGGGAAACTTTGCTCATATTCAACCAGCTGTGTGTAAGTGCATTGTGCACAGATGAACGTTGTTTGACTCCCTACCCGTCAGGTAGCAGAGGTCCAGATGCTGGCAGTGTGCGCTGGCAGCAGCACACACTGCGATGCCACACAACTGGTTCAATATCAGCAAAGTTTCCCTTTATATTCATTGTCTTGTGTGGCGATCAGCAGTGATGTGGTGGTTCACTTTTACACTGTAATCTGTAGCCTATAGCTCGGCTTTAGCTTCTAACTATCTTCATCTTTTTAACCTGTTGTTGCTGCTGAGTCAGTTTGACATCCTGGATATATCCTTCAAACACAGACTGTAGACCCCTCTGTCTGCTTCTCTCTGGAATCAAAAATATGATAATATTTCTTCAGGGAGTGCAGTTAGTTACAGTGAAGGCTCCATGCTTACTCCGACAGCTTGTCGGACCATTACAAAGGGGCTGGGCTTAGTGAAAGGTCAATTCAGGAAGAAATATTATACTTTTTACTTCACTACAGTCAGCTTTAGTTACTAGATGCTTTGCAAATTAGGAATTTTGAACACAAAGAGCTTATAAAAGATGTTCTAAAGTAATGTACTCTCCAGTATGTACAAATACAGCTGAAACGAAAATTCGATTACCTCCTGACCAGCCTTTGGTACCCATTTTCATTTCTCCTACCTAAGTGGGACATGATAAATATGAAAAACTATGCATTGTATTTGAACATTAAGTAGTTTTTGAAAACAATATGTCCTCATATGGGGACACTGGGTTTATTTTTAATGTTCATAAGTGTATTATAAAGTATAAAACAGTTTATTTCAATGCCTAACATTTTTGTGTAGAAACAAAGCCATGTGGGCTGGGCATAAGGTGCATCAAACCCAAAATGTAATGTCATCATATGAGAATACATGGGGTAGGTTAGTCACATAGTCGATTGTGTCACAGCCTCTGCTGCAGCTACCTCTCCCTCCTAACCAGGAGGTCTATGGAGCTACATTAGGGTCAAATGTTTTGTACTTGAAAAAATAAAATCTGAAACTGAAAATTCATGTGTTGATCTTGAATTTTGAAAAATACAACAATGTATTCAAAATAAAAATAAGTGTATGAAACGTTTTTTCAGGTTAAACATAATTTTGATTCATTTTGGTAATTCTTTTGAATGAATAATTTATTTTCACTTTTCACTTCCATATGTATTTTAACACTTGAGGTCTTATTTTTTTCAGTTGCATGTTTTATCTTTTCAGATTCAGATCTTATTTTTTACAGTTTCAAATCTTATTTTTTCACTTTCAAATCTTTTTTTCACTTTCAGATCTTATTTTTTCAGTTTCAAATCTGTTTTTTGAGTTTCAGACTTTTGACCCTGATGTGGCGTGGGGGGCGTGGCATCAACTGAGGGGGGTGTGGAATCATGAGTGACAGTGCCTTCAGGGAACGTAGGAACTAAAAAAATTCTGACTCAACACTTATATACACCATATTCATGTGACTGGCAGTGTAAAAATTGATGCCAGTGACAAACTTCCATTTAGAAATCTGTTTTAGACAGTACTGAGCACCAA